TATATATATATATCGACAGTTCAGGCTGGTTTTCTTTAAATAACAGAGTTTGAAGATTAAATGCTTTAAAGACTCGTGGTACAAAGTCTGTGTGGTGATGATGGACATTTTTTGTGGTGAACCTGTGATCCCCTTACCTTTATCTTAAGAACTCAAGGTTTTGATTCCCAGGTCAGGACCTTCTAAGCTGATGGATCATTTTCTTTACTGTCATTTTCTAATACTTTTTTGTTTTTGCAGCATATCTAACAATGTTATCTTTTGTCATAAAGTAATCTGAAAGGTTTCAACACAAACTGAATTAGCCTTAGGCACTGGAAAACGTTTACTGTCTGTTCAAATATATTCACATTTCCTGACAACAATAAGCTTTACAAACTCATATTTTGTATGAAGAGTGCACAGATTTCTAGGTATTCATTGCTGCCTTTTTTCCCCGCCTCGTTTACGTTCTGAGGTCTGCTTGTGGCATCTTCAGGAAACCCCATTTGAATATGTTGAGGGAGGCCACGGTGGTTCAGGCACCCAGGGCACACTTTGATCCCTACAGATCTGAGGGCCTTTTTTTTTTCTTTTTTTTTKGTCCTGAGGTTGAGAGAGTCAGAAGCCTTGCCCTGCCAGATGTTTGGAAACCAGGCTCCTTCCTGTGTCTCATCCTGCTGTCGCCTCTGGTGATCGCATCGGTTCAGTCGGGCTGCAGCTCGACTCCGAGTGTTTCAGGACATCAGTGGAGAGAAAGAAAATTAGCTGTGGAAATCAAATTACTCCACCCCTCCAGACACATTCACACACCCTGCCCACTGCTTTCATGATGTTAAAACACAAGGGCGTGACCTGATGGTGCGCTGGATCATTTCTACAAGACCAGGATCTGACACCAGGCTGATCAGTTGCTTTCACTTTTTATAGGGAGACAAAAGACTTTTAGCTCTGAATGACCTCAGCTGGGAGAAAAAAGTAAACATTCAGACTGAGTTGATGAGGTAAAGGCTAGTCCAAATGTGACCAAGGGCACAGCCCCAGTATTAAAGATGTCATAGATGTGCATGCAAACGCTCCTTTACAGACTAACATGCTGTTAGTTTTGTATTACATGGTAAATTTAAATCAAATCAAGTCGTAATTTATGATTCATAAATTATGAGTACAATTGAAACTGTATTAATATAAAAAACTAATAAACTTGGTGGAAAATTTAAAAAAATTAATGAATTAGCACAATAAAAGTCTAGAAATCCTGCTCGGCTGGAGCTTAAAGCCTGCAAAAACAAATTTATAACAGACTTCCAATGACTGATGGTCTGAGCTGCTCTAAATTGCAGAGGACTGTTTCACAGACGGAGGGGGACCACCATCAAAAAGCTCTGCCACCTGTGGTTTACAGTCTGGATCTGGAGGTGTCTAATACCAACTAATTAGTGGACGTCAGAGCTCAGGCCTGAATCTGATGGTCCTGTTTACACAAAGTGATTTTTGAGTGAAATCTGAGATTTTCTGCCACACACTTTCTAAAACCATTGAATCCTGGTCTTAGAGTGAAAGTTCTCAGGAAAACCCTGCGCTCGGGCCTTCATTTTACCCAAGCGTCAGCATTTCAGTAGAAATGTTAAGTATATAAAGTGGTTAGCCTTTGTAAATGTCCATTAAACAGCATTTGCATGAACCACTATGACTTGTTTTAGATTATAGTTGTTGTAGGATGGCTGCAAGATGGGCCTG